AAGAAAGAAAGAAAGAAAGAAAGAAAGAAAGAAAGAAAGAAAGAAAGAAAGAAAGAAAGAAAGAAAGAAAGATGAGTATAACCTGTGGGCGGGTGGGCAGGCCCACTTTCACAGAAACAGAGGACTGGTTCGCTCTTGGCTTGCAATCAGAGCTAATGGTTCAGCCGAACCAGTCCGAACTTGTAGGAACCCATCACTGGCTTGGTGATACATGATAGCTGGGAACTGAAACAGGTGCCCATGTGGGTGGATGAGCTGAGTTCTCCACAAAAAAAAATTAGTTAAGTACTATCAAGATTTGAAGAAAGTTCCCAAAATTCATGCAAATTTAAAAAGATGAGAAATCTGGAAAATGCGTGCTCTAATGCCACCTTTGTAACTTGATACAATCCAGATAGGATCAGATTACAACTCCTACTGCACCAAGATAGAAATGCTACCTTGGGATGATGATAATTGTTGTCTCAGATTGGGAACACATCAGGTTGGGAAAGGCTGTCCTTGTAGATAGACCCTTTGGTTATTCTTTTCCTTCAGCCAAATCTGGCCAGCCTTGCTGACAACTTTAAGATGCCAGCCATCAATTCTGTTTTCATCCATTCAGACAGCTAAGAATAATGCTCGTAGAGGAGAAAAGACATGAAGAGGAAAGAGCAGCAAAAACCTACCAGTATGTGATTCCTAATCTTTCTTACTTCTCAGGCAATGCTCAGAAGCCTCAACAATAGACTTTTTGTGGTTTATGAGAATTTATAAATTTGGGTTTAATGAAGGCTGCTTCTTTGAACACCATAACATGGCACTTGGCTAATAAATGTTACAAATAAATCAAATGGTAAATCAATCCTGAAACATACTGAAAACAATCACACTCGGGTTTTCTGCCAAGAGCTGCAGAGTTTGGAAAAAATGTTAGAAAAAATACCGCTTCTAGAATACAGTATGTAATACAGAGGCCTTTTTCAACCCGATTTATTTCACAAGTCATAGAATCTGAATTCCCAGCACATTGAATTGGAATTGGATTTATATTCCAATACATTTGGAGAGCACCAGCTCAGGGGAGGCTGAGATAGAAAGCTCAGGAACCAGGGGTGAAAGAAATATTGCATGACCAGGATTGATTGCTTTCATTTTGCAATGCAAAATCCATCATACAATTAGGAATACTTCCTAATATTAGTTTTAATCATTGATTTTACAGATGACTACATGTTGACAAGCCAGGATCCTGTAAAACAGAAGTTTGCTTGGCAAGTATGCTGTCAAGATTAGTGTAGGAATAACAGCTACCACTAAATAAACCTAGGAACAGTAGCTTCCAATAATCATCATTGATAATAGGTAAATTTCCTATAAGTTTGTTTCTTTTATTTTTGTTTCTAGGTTGGCTATTATTGTCACTGAAAAAGCTGACATCTGGAAACATCTTTATATAAATTGTATCTCAACTTCAACTTAATCAAAACTAAAGGTCTTGGTTAATATCAGTAAAAGGAACAACACTGCTGTGCTTCATTTGGCTTTATTTTCCTGTTTTATTTTGTTTTATTTTTCTTCTGTTAATTTATTGCTATTTTATTTGGAAGAGAAAATTCCTTTTGAATAGATTTTTATATTACATCAAACACATGGAATTGATGCTCAAGGATATACAAGACATCAATGTCTTCATTGATATCTGACAGACAACATTAAAAAAAAAACCTAATTAAATGGGAGGGTACATGCTGTGTTCAACCAGTTCTAATAGTCATCTTTATTTATAGCTATGAACTATGTTCACATGTTTTATTGGCATTTGGGGAACACAATCATGGAGGATGGGTGCAGCACAGTGTTTGTTGGGATGTGATCATTTACCCAGAAAAAAGTAACAAAGAAAGCTGGAACAATAGAGAGGATCTTCTCCATAAAGAAAGGAGAAGAAACAAAGCTGACTAGTCTCAGGGAATAGATATTTTGCAACTGATGTGCCTTAACCATTTAAATTGTGTCTAATAGCCCCCAAAAGTTGCCTATTCCTGTCCTTGAACAATCATCCTCCCAACTCTTTCCAGGTTCCTTGGAAATTATAGTTCTAACATATCTGGACACCAGATTGGAAAAACCTGGACGGGAATGACTTTAATCAACCTCTTTCTCCTTTTCACATATTCCCTCACCAGCTTTGCTCTTTTCCATGATATACTTATACCTTCTTTTGTTGAGAAATTTTTTATGCTGCTCTTGACTCACCATCATTTCCCAACTCACCCTTATATTCTTTCAGAGGGTTGCAAAAATCATACATGTTTAAACATCTGAATTGAGATCAATGTTGAGGAATAGACTCAGGATTATTTGATCATAATAACTTGGTCTTAACTGTAGGAGGTACTGAAAGAGAAACTAATCTTCAGAAAAAGATGAATGAATGAGATATCACATTGTCTTCTGTCTTGTTTTCCTAACAGAATAGCATTACTCACTCATCCATGTCTTTCCCTTTAAGAATAATAAATCATTCATTTGTTAATGAGACCGTGTTATCCTTTACCATTAACCTCTCATAATAATGCAATACCCAGACCCAAGGAAGCAAGAAAGGGCTTCGCACTCAAACCTCTAATTTTCTCAGTATCTTTTTTAAAAATAGGTTTTGCAAGACAGGAAGAATCTGCAACATATCCCTATAACCATTTTTGAAATTGTGGAGAAGGGTTGTTTCATTCAAACTGCAGTGCTAAATCTGGAAACTCCAGTGTTTGTCATTATTTAGAAGAAAGAACTTCTACACCACCAATAGATTTTACCACACATTGTTCCATTGGAGAATGACTGGGCCTTGTAGAAAGATGCATGGGTCAGTGCTTTCCTTTCACAGTACATGAAAATATTATCAGCTTTCTTCTGCTAAGCTGTGAGATAAATTATAAATACTAAAAGTAGTATTTACAATAGATGGAAAATAAATGTTTGCAGACTGTTGTTAAAGCAATTGGGCCACAGTCCAGGAGCAAATGTAAACATATTCTGCACGTGGAAAGATGCCAGTCCCCCAAGGTCATGTAACGACTAACCATTTGGGAGGTCCTAGGTTGTTTCTTGTACTTCCATTTATTATTAAATAATATTTCTTAAAACAATATTTTTAAGTGAACAAAAGGAACACATAGATAAGTGCTGGGCAAGATGGACCTCAGCCACAGACACATGAAACTTTCTGCCAGAGGAAACAATACCAGACTAGACAAATCAATGATTTAACTGATACTAGGCAACTTCCTTTATCTCTTAAACGGTTAACCATGAAAAAAAAATACTGGAGGAAAACCATTATCCCTTTCGGTGTGCAATTTTGCCCTGTACATTTTTGCTAGCTTTGTCAGAACTTTGACCTACTGACTGTGTAAAGAGTTAGGTCTTTCAGGAAAAACCTTTTCACGCAACTGGACACATATGGTACCAGACATATAGAAGTATCATGACTGATCCAGATTAGCTGAGTATTTTGAGAAACCTACCGATCATCCTGAGAGGGCCGGATGTATCCTGAAGAGAGGATGTTCAAAGAGAGGATATTGGGGTCAATGAGGGACTCATCTCCTTCTGGAGTGTTCCGGATTCGACCTACAATAGATGATAACACATACATTTTATTTTCCCTATACTGCTGCAGGTGAATTAGAGTAAGTATATTTCTAGACATCTAAATCATAATCGGATAAGTCTTTTCCAAAATATAAATGGAAGATCTGGAGTGATGCATACACAGCTTTCTCTCCGATCTCCATTTCAACATGATGGGAGGCAGAAGGCAAAGTGTTGGAAGATTCATCCATACTGTATGTGCCATATTCCCACTGTAGTCATGTTTTATAAACTCTCCAGCTTGCCATATGTCCTAACCATATGCAAGATTTCAAAGAGTCACATAAGTCATGTAGCTTGTAGGCTGCCCAATATAGTATGTCTATAAAGTGAGATATTCTCTAGGTCTTAAACTCATCATTGCTTATCATGATGAGAACTGAAAAGAAATCATACTGTTTGGATATTTTCATATTTTTTACCAAACTGAGCTATGCTCCTCTTAGAAGAAAGAGGCCGTGAACCAATTACACCACTGTAATTTGACAATCTCTCAAACTCTGTCAACATAATGCATCATGCAGTTTTCTATGCAAAGTTCCAGTCTATCCTTCAAACTGTATCAAAGGAGATTTGTTTATTCATTAAACATAGTTCTATTCCAAAACACTTCTATCCTATTGTAATCCAAGAGACTGTTGGAGGAGATGTGGTATTCCGCAGGTTCTGACCAGTTCTGGAGAACCAGTAGTGGAAATTTTGAGTATTTCGGAGAATTGATAAATACCACTTCTGACTGGCCCCACCCCCCATCTATTCGCTGCTTCCCAAGTCGCAGCTGATCGGGAGGAGATGGGGATTTTGCAGTAACCTTCCCCTGCCACGCCCACCAAACCATGCACGCCTACCAAGCCACCCCTACAGAACCAGTAGTAAAAAAAATTGAATCCCACTATTGTCTTGGAGGCTATAGAGGAGATACACTGTAAAACATCCAAATACAGGCTCTGTTTACCAAAATGAGCAACTTGTTACAAGAAGTAAAGAAAAATACTCAAATGCCAAATTGCTGAAAGCTCTATTTTGATTCTTTTTATATAGCATCAGTATCCATACACTTTTCTAAAAATCAGTGATGCTGTTCTGCAGTTTGAGACTGCTTAGTTCAGATGTACTATACAGCTTCAACATTGATTGGGATATTGAACAAATATTTTGCTTACCCACAACCAGCTCCCTCACTTCCTTCCAGCGGATGTGGCTTCCTGTCTCATGCACCAAGGTGACTGTAATCCTCCTCTGGATACCCTGACATCCATCATACGGGAAAGTAATAAAGTTAGCAGTTATAAGAACTGTATTTAAAAAGCTAAGCAAATATCCTGCCCTCCAGAAGCAACCAGATAAAACACCATTAATGATAAACTTTATGAATTTATGACATTTATATGGCTGCCATATAACCTGCAGCTCTGGTTGGCCTACACTAAACCATAGAACACAACAACAAAAAAAGAAAATAACCAGTGTTATCTTGAAAATTATGAATCTACGCACTCCACTGATGTGAAGCTATCATAAGCCATGCCAGCTATGGCACCCAGATAGTGCAGAAGTTATCTCACAGGCAACCTCCAGAGTCAAAGAGTTTGCCCAAATCTATGGTACACGCAAAGTATTATCCTAAGTGGAAGTACATCAACTCCCATAAGTCACGGTATGCATGGTATGTTGGGCCAGAGGAAATATACATTAATATTTTTGTTGAAAAAAACTATAGAAAATATTTTTGTTAAAAATATAGTTTAATAATAGTATGCGAAGGGTTTTTTGTTTTTTTAGAAAGGAGTGTCTTATTGAAAACTTTATATGCAGAGTGCAGGACACACAATATGAAATTGAGAAGAGCAAAATGTGGTCTTGTGAATATTGCTAAACTACATCTCCCAGCACATGTGGATTTTGGAGCAGCTGGGAGTTATAGTTCAGAATATCTCAAAGACCACATGCAGCACACCCATGACTACAAAAAGAAAAAATGCTCTTTGAACTGAAGCTACATTTAGAATTAATTTTGGATATATTATTTTAGCAGTCTCCAACCTTTGTGGCTTGGCAGCCCTGCTGGGTGGGGAGAGGGGAATTGGGCCGTGTGAACGTCAGGCTGGCATGCACATGCACAGTTTGACTTATACAAGCAGTGCATCAACACGCATGTGTGTAATTGCCCACCATTCATAGAAGTTGAACTATGTGCACATGCTCCAGCCAGCCAATCATGCGGCCCAATTCCAAATAGGAATTATTAGAAGGAAGTTTTCTCAATAAGCTTTTGTAAATTTTCTTATATAGTCGACATTAATCCCTCCAATATACATAACTATAAACATTTATAAACTGACTGTCTTGTACCAAACTCAGCTCACAACCAATATGTAATAAAGGAATGAATTCTCAACAAAATTAGAACTATTTTTTTTAAAAAGTTTTGAAAATGTATTTGTGTGTGTGTGTGTGTGTGTGTGTGTGTGTGTGTAGGGAAAAGAGATACAAATAATTCTTTTTCATTCAATTTGTAACTTTATAAGTTACAAATTGTAATTTATAAAGTTACAATTATAAGTAACAGACAGATTATTGAATAAAGAAACAAGAAAATAAGTGACAGACAGATTATTAAATAGAGCAATATAGTTACTAGAAATACTGAAATAATCTCATATATTTCTAAAAGGTTACTAGAGAAAAAGTTAGAAAAAAGAAAATCAAATCTTGAATAAAAAATTATATTTGTGTTTCTTTTTTTATTATTTACTTTTTTGGTAAAATAACAAATAACACTTTTATCAGGTAATTTTAAGGGACTGAGTTCCCCTAATAAATGGACAATGGACTTTTGCAATATAATTAAAGAGACAAAAAGTCAGCAGCTATTTTATATTTCTACTATATTTTTTCTATAAAGAAAAAATTATTAGGTGTGTCTCCTGAAAATTACTACAACTTTGCCACTTTGTGTTGAAGAAAAAATGTAGTTTAACAAATAAATCTGTTCCTTTATATTTCCAGAATGTATATTTATAAGGATATTCTTTTTTTAAGTAGATTGCTAATCAAAGTTATGATCCCAATAAAAACAATTTTTTTTATAAACTAATAGATTATAGAATCCAAAAAGATAGTGAGCACTATCTGGTTTTTCCATTCAGGTTGGACATATGAAGGATTATTCAATGTAGTAGCAAATACACTAAATATGTTTTTAAATGCTCTGAGTTGCATATTCTTCAAAGATGCCCATTCGCCAAAAATTGTATCTAACAATTCATTTTATAAAATAAAAACAGTATTGTTACCCTATGCTTAGAATAGCGTTAGGGTTAGGAATTGGTAAGAAGAATACAGAAAATACCTGATGCAATAGGAAAGTCCCATGGCAAGGCATTCCTCCACGATGATCCACAACAGCTGGGATATAGCTAGAAAACATCATTTTATTGAGACTGAATAGACAGAATCTTCTCCAACCTTGTGCTTTCAAGATAATTTTTGGACCTGGAGTTCCCTAGCATTACACCCCAATCAGCACTGGCTAGAGCAATGTTTCTCAATCTTGGCAACTTTTAGAGTATGGATTGAGGTGCAGAATTCTAGAAGTAGCCAAGATTGAGAAAGACTAGCCTAGAATGATGAGAATTGCACTATAGTGAAGCTTTACAAAACACATGTTTTTAATAATCTCCATTTATATTGCACTGAGTAAACAAGTATTCATCAGTATTAATTTGCTCACCTTGACTGGACTTTATTTTTACAACTTCATGTTACAATTCTTTCTGTATGACTTTAAAAACATGTGCTTTGCACTGCTCTACCCTTTGATATCTAAGATACTCCACAGTGTTCTGCTTTGTGACAAGAATTGTTCAGATATGCCTAAAACACTGAAAAGTACATAGTGTGAAAATTCAATATAATTTTTTAAAAAAACTCTTCATAGCCTCAAAGATGTATAAAAGAAAGTGGTTTGTTTCCATAGAAACCAATTCTGAGAAAATGTATCAAACAAAGTTACACAAGGAGATCAGATTGATTTATTCATTATTAAAGAGCATTTGTATGATCTTTTCCCATCAATTTCACATAAATGTTCCTTGTTTCAATTCTTGTACATTAATTTACACATGCATGATTTGTTTTCATTTGCAAGTACAAATTCTCATAATTAGCTAAGAGATTTACATCTCTTTCAGAGGTTTTCTACTACAAACGTCCACATCAGGTCATTAATAGTCATGTAGAAAAGGGAAAGTTTGGAGCCCCAACTTCTAAGATTTTTACAGCACTATAATTGGAGATTACACATGTATAGTACCATCACTCTTAATTTGCTTTGTGGACAATTAGAGTTAGGATGAGAATCTTTTTCCATTCAGAGTCTCATAGGTTCATTATCTCCATCTGTACAATAGGAAGCATTTACTTATTCCTGTCTGAAACAATATCGTAAAGTCACATTATACAATACTGAATCAGTGGTCTGACTCAATATAAAGTGCTAAGCAGATGCATTGAACTAATCCAATTCAGATTTCAATGAAGTTGAATCTATCCTATAAATACTTATATTACATTTAAAGTTTGGCAATTATTTTTTCCAGCAAATGTACTAAAACAGAATGAACATTTTCAGCTGCGTAATGCACTTGATAATCATGGCTCCTAAATTAGTTAGCAAAATGTAATTGTTTGTAAGTATATAAAGCAACTTACTCGCCATTAGCTTCCAGCTCACAGATCTCAAAGAAAACCATGAGATCATACTTGCATTGACATGGACCAATGCTGGGTCTTGTCATGGCACTCAATTTTGTTGCAGGCACTGCAAAAAGTATAATAAAATGGAATAATTGGTCAAGTATAAAGGTTGAGAAACTCTATTATCTCATACTGCAACTGTGTTTCTGCATCATGGCTAAAGAGCTAAGTTGAAAGATAAATGGCTGGTACTAGAAGGCCGTTGGGCATAAATGCACAGAAGCAAGACAGATGAGGCTGTGAGTCTATGCACAATTTCTCACAAGAACCAGATACAAAAAATCCATATGAGAGATACAAGGCAATATACAAGGCACACAAAGAAAGGGAAAACATGTTACATCCAATGCCATTAAGAGCATCATTCTGTTATCAAAGGATAACAGAATAACAGAATAAGAATAATAACAGAATAAGAATCATGCACTGTAGTCCTTACATGATGTGACTAAATAAGCAGTTATTGAGCACTTGGAGCAACTTTTCTGTAATGGGTGCCTAAAATTATTCCAACTATTCTTCAAACATTGAGATATCCCAAGGAGATCAGCTATACTCTAGAAATCAGAACTGTTTAAATAGGAGAAACCTCATTGTTCTGTGTCCCTCACCAATGACATTTTTTATTTATTTATTCAGTTGATATCCTGTCTTTCCAACCAGGCAAGTGTTCAGTTCAAGGCAGAAGAAGTTGGTTAAAAGCTGAAAATTGGGTTATACTGGAGTTTTACCATTTAGGCCAGGGGTCCCAAACCCCCAGGCTGTGGCCCACTACCATGGCACTACCAGGCCATGGCCTGTTTGCAACCAGACCACGCAAGCGGCAGGCCAGCACGCACACGTATCTTGAATTACATGAGCAGCGGGCATGAAGCTCAATTTGCACATGTTTAGCTGCGCATGCATGCACATGTGCACTGGCCTGCAGCTTGTGGAGATTGAGCTGCATATGCGTGTGCCAACCCACCACTCACACGGCTTGGTTCCTCTCTCCCCTCCACTAGGCTGCCAAGCAACAAAGGTTGGGGACCGCTGATTTAGATCTATGTTTGGGAAAGAGGCAAGCGGAGATGACACACAGATAATTCTCTTCTACATCTATTCCTTATGAAAATTTGGACAGGATGTCTGTTATTTCAATTCACCATCAACTGAAGTCAACACAATACTAATTTTTACAAAGATTTGGGACAGCTTTTTCAAATAACAATTATTAATCAGTAATATTTTTTGTTCAAAATGTCTAAACATTCTGAAATTTTCATAAGGAATAGATG